ATAAGCAAATGGCCGGTAATGTATTCATGAGAGGCAATATATTAGTGGCTAATGTATAATGGCTGGGAAAAAGTACACTTTTAGTAGCAATTCCAAACAATAGCCGCCAAAAAGGCCTTTTTTTCTAAAATTAAAAACTCCTACATGAGAGGCAATATATTAGCGGCTAATGTATAATGGCCGGGAAAAAGTACACTTTTAGTAGCAATTCCAAACAATAGCCGCCGAAAAGCCTTTCTTTACTAAAATTAAAAACTCCTACTTTCTCTAAATTATTTATTTTCCCACCATTCTCCAAAATCTGGAAAAAAAGAACTCCTAGGCAATAAGGAAAACATTACTTAGAAAAAAACCCTATGTACGCTTAAAATAAGGAAAAATTTCCTAAAACGATCTCCCACACACATAAGGATTATGTATCCTAAATCTCTTAGAGTTGTGACGTCCAGCACCATATATTCATTCATAGCAGCAACCTTCCGGCAGCATATATCAACTTGCAACAGCGACGTCCAGCAGCTATAGATTACTCGCAGGAAATACGTCCAGGAAAAACAAAGTTTTTAGGTTTGTAGGTCACTCATCTCCACTCCTCTTTTTCTATCGTATTCTATTACCCTTGTTGCTCTGTACATCTTTGTTATGAATTTATCCCCATTATTTATTTTCTATTATGTTCATTAATCAGTAGTCACACATTAACTAAGAAGAAAACAGAAAATACACTTGACGAACTAATCAATAATTAGGTATTAGTTGTGATTTATAAGTGATTTGAAATTCGTAAAAGTAATATTTTTGCGTTTGTGATCTCTGGCTGCTACTATTTTGATTGCAATTGATTAAATCAATTCACCTCATAATATACTTCAAGGTGTGTGGCTATTATATTAAGGTGTGTGGTTGTTAATATATTAAGGCGGGTGGCTTTTAGTTCATCTGTAACTTATAATCATTCGAAAGTTCTATTGTGAATACAATTTTTGTTTTGACTCTATGAGCTCTCTGTTATTGAGATTATCCGTAATTGGAAGCATTTTTTAAACCTTTTGGTCTAATTTGTGGTAGGTTTAGCATTTGTCCTTGAATCTTTTATTTAATACTCTTGTTGTTCATTTAATTTTTTGTTTTAGACGTTTATTAGAATATCTATTTTTGGCCATAAAATATGAAACATTACCATACAATGAATGAAATAGTACACTTGAGGCATCTATGATCTGGTTATGATTAACAAGCACAAAGTTAGTAGACCTCAAGCATCATCTATTTATAGATTGTATCCCCTTGAAGGAAGGGGGGATCTTTAAATGAACAAACCTGTAGCTTTGTAACACAAGATACACAAGTATCAGAATCTCAATACATCACAAAAACAAATTAAAAAGAGATCGAAGTAAAAAAACTTGACTAGGGCAACTATTGATATAATGTTTTGTATTTTGTGACATTAGGATCTTCAGAACTGTTAGCCAGGGCAAAAATGTGCTACACAACATCAGAAACACCATAGGCCATGGCTGCTACAAGATTCGTTTAGCTTTGTTTTCACCAGTTTAAGTCGTTTCTTATGTCTACTCAATTATTTCTAAATCCTTCTCTTTTGTAGCCTAAGCTGCTCCATTGGCCTTCGCCTTAGTAGCCTGATTGGCTCTAGTTGTCTTTATTGAGTTGTCTGAGCTGCTCAAGCTGCCTTATCCTTCGTAGCTTGACCTTCTCTACTCAATTTATCCTTAGTTGTCTGGGCTTCTTCACTTATCTTATTGTGCGTTGTTTTTTAACTGAATGAACCATCATGAATGCCATATTTGTTTTTGCTTGGGCCTTGTCTTTCATGCATTCCATTGTTTGACTAAACTTTGACTATCTCCCACCAGGTGTTGTGACATTTTACCCAAAATAATTCTCTTTCAAACTTGAGGAGAACTGAATCCAGATGAAGCTGATGATTAAGTTGGTCGATAATCCTTAATTGTTGAAATAAGATATATTCAAAGTGTCTCTTTTGTGACTTTCATTGTTTTGATTATAGCAGATTGAACCTCCGAGGAGACTGATACCACACATTAAAACAATCACAATAGAATCCACAAACAAGCTGTCAAAATGGAATTATGGTAAAAACCTATATACTTCTTTATGCGTTTTTCAGTATGCCTTTAGTGTTTGGACATGTAGCTTACTGAGTTATTGTTGATCTGCCCCAAACCTAGTATTAGAAATACCCATTTAATCTGCTTCCCTTTATCTTATCGTTTGAAATCAAATTATTGGAATTTGTGGTTTCATAATTTTTCAAGTTTCTGATAGGAGTTCCTCAAATTTAATGTATTGAATAGTACCTGCACAAACAAAAACTCTGTTAGTTAAAAAATTGGCAAGGTGGTCCCTTTCTCTTAGAACATGTGATACTTGAAAATCACCCTTTGTCTTCTAGTCTTTGATCTTCTGAACCTCCATACTTCTCCATAACAAAATGTCATTGATGAAATTTCGACCTTACTGAACAAAGAGAAAATCTCCATAACAGAGTTATAGTTGCACAAATTTTACAGAGAACTAGCGTCAAGATTGTTCAGTACAAATTTTCTCCCTTAAAGAGAATTATCTTAGCTAACAACAGAGGGTGATTGATAAGATTACATGATACGTGTTAGATGAGTGTAATGAACTATTGATCATGTATGTAGTCCCCAATTACGATTGTATTTGAGTAGATGCCAAATCTTTTTTTTTGCAGAAGCTGATGCTTTATGTTTCTAATGGTAGGAATTTCACTTATAACTCAAATTGATCGTCTGATACTCTCATAGTTAAATCCCAAGCTTGTTTCCAGGGAATTAAGGACTTGACTTTTTTCTATTGTAGCATTCTCTGTTCTATTTATCTTTATGGTAGTATTTCCTAGAGAGTTTGATCATTAAAGCCTATAAGTTTCTAGTATATTTTTCAATAGTACCATGATAATAGAGCTGGACATATTGTTTCTCTGTGATATTTCATGTGAGAGAGTTCAACTTTTGCATAAAGAATAGGGAAGTGGAAATTAGCACATTTCTTTCACTCTTCATCAATCACCTTCTTCCACTCTTTGATCTTCTGAACCTCCATACCTCTCCAATCAGTGCTTCACCTTTATACCTTTGTACTATATGAGCATTGAGCAAAAAATGTCATAAACTTGTTTCTCTGTTTCCAAATGGAAAAATTAAATTATATAAAGTTCTAAGCAGCAACTAGTTAGGAATTAAGAGATAACATTTCTTAATTTCATGGATCCACTGGAAATTAACACAAAATACATTTCAGGTATCCACTGGAAAGATCCCAAAAAGAAGCAAAAATGAACTTCTCTTGTGCTTAAGCATTTCAAAAGTTTCAGCTCTAGCAGACAAACAGATAGACAATCACTTACAAACATAGCAGGTCAAAGCAACTAATGAAAGTTAATATTGAAAATGTAACACCAATCTAGGTAACAATCTATTTGTGATTCAACGGAATATTGAAACGAAACATATTAACATAGCCATAAAAATCCTTGTCCCAATAGTTATTATTACTATAAAGCGGGAAAGAATTAGACTCCATCCTCTTGAAGCAGAAACAAACAGCAAATGATGTGAAGGCAAAGATAAAAATTCCAAATGTCCCATAAATAAATAGTGCATCAGAAACTCGATTTTTGCATCACCCATGATGTCTTGAAGGAAAATCCGAGTAACTCATCATGTGATTTTTAATTAAAGTCAAAGAACAAAAAAAATCTCTGAAACACAATTTCAGAAATACAGCACCAAGTTGAACATGAAACAAATGTAAGAACTCAATAAATTGTGCATCAGAAAGGAAAATGCAAAGGCAAAGGTTAAAAATTTCAAACATCCCATACATAAATAGTACATCAGAAACTCAGTTTTTGCATCACCCATGATGTCTAGAAGTCCCGATATTTATATCTAGCTAGCTTTGTTCGATGATGATCCTTTCTTCTTTCTGTGTTAAATTTTGTAATGCCAATAGGTCAAGTAATCTTAAATGTATTAGATTTATTTTTATGAGGGTACCTCAATATTGTCAACACCATGGAAACTTAATACACACAAACTCACAAATAAATGAAAATTGGTAACATGCTTCAAGAAACATTATCTGCTAGAAACAGGGTGCCTAAAGATCTTGCTTTTTCGTTAACAAATGAAGGTATTGATTATCTTTAGGACTTCATTGGAAGAAACCAAACATGTTGACGACCATCTCCTGTATTGCACCCTATGTACTAATAGGATGGATATTTTATCTGAAATACATGTTTGATTAATTTTCTCTTTTTTTTACTAACGTATTTTCAGCTCCTACAATAAATGCAGAAAATAAAATCATATCTTGAACGCCATGAACAATTCTAGAAATAAAAGATGGATGTGAAACTATATATTGACTTTTATTTTACAGAAGAAGTTCTCTTTTCCAAAACGTGGAGAAGCGTTTGTCTTAAAGTCACTAGGAAAGAAATGGAAAGACTACAAGTGTGAAATTAAAGGTGAGTATATGTAAAAATATAAGACTAAAGACTCTTTGCAGAAAAATAGATCAAATCGCATACCGAGAGATCAATGGAGTGGTCTAGTCTCTTATTGGCTTTCTGATAAAGCAAAGGTATAAACAAATTTTGAAAACACACCTACTTTATTATTTTAACTATGTGGTGATTTTAGTTATGCTACATTTTGTTTTATAATTTGTAAGATATTATTTAAATATTTCAACAACAGAGGCGTACCCAAGCAAATAGAAACAACTAGGCCAATCAAAAGATACCTCACACAGGAGGATCCAAAAATATAGCAACATTGATGCATGAGCAGGTAAATCTGTGAAACATATTTTTAAAGATTTTTTGTCACGCATAGCTGATATCAATACTATTGCTTAGGATGAAAATGGAATAGAGCCTACACGAGTAGAAATTTTCTTATAAACTCATAAAAAATGGTAGACCACTGGATGATGATTCTGCCAAGGCAATCGTAAGATTTCTTCTTAATGTTATTTTTTAAATCATGAAACAATTAAAAATAAACATTACAAGTTAATAAGCCAATTTCAAAATGGATTTATTGTGTATTCTATAATTAGGACATGATAAATGAAAGGATGAGCAATAATGAAAGATCTACCGACCAACCTCCTCACAATATTGCTTGGGAAGGTGATGTGTATTCTCAAGTGTTGGGAAATGAGAAGGGTGAAGGGTGGGTTTGTTCATGGTTTAGGACTTGGTACAACTCCTTCAGTTCTATGAGGTAGTAAATCTTTCATAGAAATATTGTTGTAGAATATTCATCTAATGAGGTTGTACAAAGGTTAGAAGAAGAAATAACTGAGTAAAAGGAAAAACAAAATGAAGAAATGGATCTGATGAAACAAAAACACAAGAAGCTGCAATCAGAATTACTCAAAATGAGACAATTCATGCAAAAGTATGCTCCTAATGAACCCTTCCTCAAGATATCAATAGCACTTCAAATGAACAGGTAACTAAATTTTACATATCTTAGGAATTTTTAATGAAATTTTAATCCTATAAAAGGATTGTTAACTAATGTCTTAATACTTATTGTTCCTGATAATAATAGCAGCAAGAAGGAGTACCACAATCATCAAGGATATCTAGTAATGCTGAAATTACTCTACCTCATGGTACTACTTATCTTTATCATTTGACATTATTCTTTAAGTTTTCATTACTAGTGTTTCTTGTCTTTGTTTTTAATAGATATGTCCGCCAATAGAACTCACAAGTTTTAGTAGTAGTAGTAGTTCTTCTACAAGTATAGACTATCTTTCTGGTTCCATTTATCTTATCGTCTAGAATTGAATGCTTGGAATTTGTTGTTTATCAGTGGTCAGGATCTTTTTAGCTTCAAATGGGAGTTCCGGAGAGTTATTGTATTGAATAGTACCTGCACAATCAAAACCTCTGTTAGTTAAAAACATCAGCAAACTAGTTCCCTTCTCTTAGAACATGTGACACTTGGACACAATAGCTAGGTTTGTATATTTCCAACTTTTGTATGATGAGTGGTCAAGTGTTAGAGATCTCATTTATCCAACTTTTGAGGCAACTTTTCTCTGTTTGTCTTGGCTTCGATGTGACCTAATCTTGTTCTAAAAGCTAGTTGAATCTCTGTTTTGCTTTGCTCGAGTTTATTTGATGTTCGTTTGGTTTAGATTTTGAATGCACTAGATGTACATTTATGTTTCTTCATTGTTCACTCGTAGTCTTGGCTATCTTCTCTTTCGCTCTTGATTCATTATTATAGACTTTACTTATCTTAGTTTAATCTCATAGAATTCCTCTCTGTTCTAGCATAACTTCAGTGTTGTCCATGTCTTTTGTATTTCAACGGGTGATGTTACGTTTGTAATTTGTCATAATCTTGTTTTAACTTGGCTCTACTTATTGTTAGCTTATCTGTAAATACGTGTATAGTCCTTTACATGGTAGAACTATTTTGTCTTCAAAATGTGGCTGGGAATCTGATTGTCTTCTTTTCTTTCTAAGTGTTGCTTTATTTATTTTGGTGTTTTCCATTAATCAAAATCTGAAACTTCATCATTCTCTAAAAAATATGTGGTCTTCTTTCCTTTGTTTTTTTTTTTTTCAGTCAGAGTCTTAGTATTTATACCTGAGCTTTTTAATATAATATCCTATTTTTTAAGATATGGTTCAGTACCAGTCTCTTGTATTGTTTGCCTCTACTTAGCCTGAGTTTTTTCTTTGTCCTGCTCATCCTCTGTTGGTTGTTCAATGGGCTGATCATGTGACATTAGATCAATAAAATTGTTATGGGAAGGGTTCTTATTCATATCTTCCTAGACTTGAGTTTCTTTGTGAAGTCCTTTGTTGTGTTGACATGAAGTTGCAATATTTCCTCCATCAGCACTCTGATCTGCTGCTACTTGATTTTTGACTTGCTTTGTTTTTGGTACTTGCTATTGTTCTTCATGTTGTGTGTTTTCTTCCTCTTGGGTGTGAGGCAGAGCTTCAGTACTCTTTTGTTTTCCTGTCCCTTGAGTTCCAGTCTGCTCTTTTTTCTCCTGAGCATTTTTGTTTTTAGTCATGATCATCTCCACCTTAGGCATAGTATTGCTGAATTTTCCCACGAAAGTATACTTACATCTAGCTGCTAACTTGACCATAAAATCCTCTCTTTTGAATATCACAGAATTCAGTTGCAACAACTCCACATTATTTAGATGGCATTATACTCGCTTTACCTAAAAATTGTAGATGGTGGTCCTTTTGTGCAGTACTTTACTGAAATCTCTCTAGCAGGTGTCAGATGACAAAATTGATAAATAAATATGCTGCTTTATCTCAGATTGGAATATTCTTTTCAAAGACAGGGGCAGTTTTTTTTATTAAGCATGTGTATTTCGCGAGAAAATTTATTAAAAGAAATTATTTGCATGCTTTAAGTGTAAACAATATTTATTTGTACAATCTAAATATCACTCCTAATGAAAAGTCTTCAAAGCATGTTGACATGTTGTCTACTGTTTTTTTCAGTTTGAAAATATTGTTTTATCTTTTAACTAAAGAAATCCAATTGTTATCATGTTCTCCATTACTGCTCTAGTTAGTTTCTCTTCAATAATCAAGATGACAATAATTGTTCTGTTGGTTTGTTATCTTGCCATTGAAGTGACATCCTCTATGTCCAACTTTTTTTTCTTTTCTTCATGGAAAATCTAATCTTAACTTCAATCTTCTAACTATCAAGTGAAAATGTGTCGAGCAAGTTCACAGGGATTGTACTATGATTTTAACCAATTTATATGTGGCAAGTGAGGTAGACATTTCTTAGTAGTGATTTTAGGGGTAGCCAAATTTATAGGTGTTTTATCCTCTAAAAAGTAATTCACTTTTTCAATTTTGTCGTCTCTTTGATTTGATGGCACAAAATGAAAATGGATGCTTCTTACTTGTAATTTTTCAGATTAGTCACACTACTTGCAATATTTTTATACTTTGAATTTCATCTATTGACACATTTCATTTTTATTTCAGGTTATACAATCTGAAGTTCTCAAATTTTATATATTGGTGATTTCAAAGACATTATTTGAAGAAGAGTAACAAAACTTATTTGAAGACATTATTCAATAGTTTGAACAATATACGTTTATTTTTATAAGTTGTTATTGTCGTATTTTGGATTAGTACTTCTTTTTGTTTGTCTAGATTTAAAGAGATATATTCTATTTTATGGATCAATAGTAATATATATGTTTTCACCATTAGCGAAAATTGTTGTTACTATGAGGCTCTCATTTGCGAACATGTTTGTTGGATTTTTATATATACATTTTATCTATAATGTAGTAGATAGTATTAATGGCGGCTAAACAATTGCCGTTAAACATTAATATTTAGCGGCATTTCAATGGAAATTATTAGCCATAAAATGGACGTTAAAGGGGAAAACAAAGACATTTTTAGAAGGGATATTGTAGCCACTACTCACCATTGTAAAATTGTCGTTAAAACTACTACCTTTTAGAAACTATTTATTTTGATTTATCGACTAAAACAATGAATGCTAAAGGACCACGAATAGCCGCTATGAATTACCTTTAGTAGCCAACATAATTGCCGCAACCAATCGCCAATAAAACTACTATGTTTTAGCGGCTATTTATTTAGATTTATCGACTAAATAAATGTACGCTAATATACCATAGTTAGTCGAATGAATTACCTTTAGCAGCCAAGACAATTGCCGCAAACAATTGACATTAAAAGTACTACCTTATAGCAGCTATTTATTTAGATTTATCGGCTAAATCAATGGATGCTAAAAGACAATAGTTAGACAGTATGAATTACCTTTAGCAGCCAACATAATTATCACAATCAATTGTCGTAAAAGCTAATGGTTTGTAGCGGTAATTTATGCTACCCTTTACCAACATTTCCCACAATGGCCGCAAAAGCCTTTGCCGACCCCAACATTGCCGGCTAAAATTCATTGATCGGTATAGAGTATCGTGACAAATGTTATTGCCGCTAAAGCCATATTTTATTGCCGCTAAAGGACCCTTTTGTAGTAGTGGAACTTGGAATTTACTTGAAAGGTAAAGGTTTTATGACAATGGTGCAAGTGAGGTATTGTTGAATGGTATTTCTTCCCTTGCCCCTTACACATAATGATGTATGCATTGTCTAGAATTATATTAATGTATGGTGTTGATTGAAAGTCTATTCTCATGAAAACACTATGAATGATAATGTGAAAGTTCTACTCACATACTAATGTTGATTCTAAAGTTCAAAGTACATTCTCGCTTTAATGAATCTATGAGCTATTTTGATGAATTGTTTTGAACAAAGGATAAAGTATCTCCTTCACACATGTAGATACAATTTAAACACTATCAATGTATAATTTGGGAAATAATGCTTAGCACCGAGTGGATATGGACAATGAGGTAAAGACCCTTCCGTTAATGCAAGAGGTTGGGTCATGTTAGTGAACTCATGAGATGGGAACTCCTCCGGTAATGCAAGAGGTAGAGTTTCTAGAAGCAATCTCCCTATCCCATAACTATGTGCCAACATAGGACTTAGCTAGTGGATCCACCTTATAGCTATATATATTTAGTTCTACCTCAGGTAAGTAGAACACCTTCTTTCGGTGTGGGGTTATACGACACCGGATTCCATGTAGGTCACATGGTCTATGTCGGTTATGGTTATTCTTCCTTATGTAATGAGATAATGAATGAGATATGAACTATACTATGACTTCTTGGTAAATTTACTTTGTAGGAGTGGGGGTATGAGACTTCACTTTTACATTGCACAAGTAGACTTGGTAGGAGGTTATGGGATGGTTCTTTTATATTATGTTGAGACATGAATGTATGCATGTGTATTGAATGGATAGTTACTATGAATGAATTTCCTTATATTCAAATGATATACATGACTAATTCTTTACTTATGACTATTGAATGTGATGAGGTCTAAAGGTAATATGTTTCACCAAGGTATCTCCAAAGGGGTGCTTAGTAGGGTTGGTATTATGGGATGCCAACCATACATTGCAAAAGTACACCTTAGGGGTTGCTAAGGTGATGACTTTACTATGTTATGAGTATAATTGTGACTTTGGCTTGTATTTTATGTTGATGCTGCAAATTGGTTTCCAAAACCTCATAAATGCATATC